TGAGCATTTTTCTGCATTATTTTCAGATTCATGCTTTACCTTTTGCAAAAAGTGTATGTAATTTTAGATTGCTTGCTTCTAGTTAAAAGATCTTTATAAATTTCCTTATATGGTGCTAAGCACTTATGGAATAAGGGAAAAACATCTGGCAACATCAAAAGCAGAAGCGTCGAGATCTGGCAAAATGGAAACAATTTTCACGAAGGACCATGTGTATGGAGAGGAGAAAAGAAAATTTACATACTTAAGTACTAATAGTTCACGAAAATAATAATTCTCGTGAACTATTATTACTTAAGTATGTAAAAATTTATTACATTTCATGTTGAACGAGGGTTTTACCCAATTTTCGAACCGTGTCAGAGCAAATCCGTGCTATAAAAGTACCGTGTTATACGGGGGTTACCTGTATATATATAATTATAGTAAAGTTACAATAAATTAAGTTAATATATAATTATATATACAGTACCTAATTTATATATAATTATATGTACAGTACCTAATTTATATATAATACTGTACAGGCGATAGTAATCTCTCCGTAGCCTGGCGCTGGACGGCGGAAAGTAGTTCGGCTGCCCGATGACGTTTTACGTAATTATAGGAGTTTTTTACCATATTATAGGGATTTTTTCGCCGTCTTATAGGAATCGTAATTATAGGAACCCGTTTTTATAGGGGTCTACTGTATTTTTTTATGGAAATGTCTTCTGCATATTCTAAAATATTACCAAATCAGATTTGGTTGCATTTGAATTGCTAAAATCTTTTGAAAGCCTTGAATAGAGTTATTTTAATTGCAATCATCCAGTATTCAAAACATATTTATAATTTGAATAATAATATATTGTACATGTATTTATGTTTGTAGAAATAGATGAATTAAATATATTAAATTATAATACTATATTTTCTTGATTCTAAGACTCTCCATGAATTTGGAATCGAATTTTAAGATGTTTTAATGGAAGAAACAATTTTTAATAATCAATTTTATTAAGTTTTGTTAGACAACAACAAATTAGTAAACGTGAAACAAATAATGTCATGCAGTTATATTTCCAAGCTCTTATGCATATATAATAACCTTTCTTTTAATGTTGCATTATAATGTCATCTTGAAAGGTTCGTTTTAAATGTCAACGAGCCATTATTTATTGTGACATCGTCAAAATGCCTGGCTGCAATTTTTCGTCACAGTACTCTCAATCTTAGTAGAGTCTTGCCCCTGTACATCATACTTTTCCTCTTAACAACCTGCATGATTGCATGCAGGTCGTCTATTTAACTCCATTTAGAAGAATATTTTTGAATTGAAATAACATGGACCGGAAGTTCGTATATAGTTAATCGGGTCTCGTGTCTCTAAGCTTTCCATGTCTGGTATCGACTTTCATTTATCTCACTCTGTTCTCGAGATTAAGGAAAGACAGAAGGACACTAGCGGAAATTTGTCTGCAATTTTTGAAAATGCAGCCCAAAAAGAAATTTAACTGAAACACTTCGGCCTATTACCAGCAAATTTCATTTGACCTATATAACCAAAAAAGTGCGTTTTACATCGAAGAACTATGGTATATCAATGGAGTAATTTAATACAATTAATATATAAAATTTTGAAATTATAATATGATTTTCTTTGCCTGAGTATTACTTTATTTTATTATAGTTATAAGGTTAGGCATGGTAATTATATAGACAATTTGTTTTTAAAGTAATATTAAAACAAAGAACAATTAAATATCTTGCAGAGAATTCAAGCTTGGTGTTGTCCAGTCATCGAAATGGAAATGCCTATTGAAAGCGAATCACAGAGTGAATCGAGTACTAGTTCTCAAGGAGGTATCATTAATAGTTGTTATGTGGATGATCCTCCACCGAAATACACACCGCCTCCTTCCTATTCGACAGCCACTGCAAGAATGATGATAAAGCAGCTTAATCCGAGAAGTTCGGTTGAAATAGAAAGCACGCTGAGAACGGCCAATGTCAATCTACAGAGAACGTTAGATGGTTCAATGTAAATACCTTTTACTGATGAAATTTGCTGATAGTGCAGCAGAAAAAAAAAATTTTAATTTTTCTAAAAAATGTTGAAATAAACTGTAATTATTTTGTTTTAAAAAGTGCCAGCAGAAATTTTTATGATTAATGGGGAACTGATTAATAATGAAAAATTAAGTGATTTCAACGTCATGTGATTTTTGACAATCGTAATCCAGCAGGTCTGGATAATATCATCTCAGGAAACCAAATCTTCAGTCCAAAAGATAATCTGGTCATTGGAATTTTTCTTTTTTTCTTGTCTTTAGAGAGTTTTCAAATTGTTTTGTTTTTGTGTGTTTATATTTGTTCATTTTAATTTGTATTTTTTTTTAATATAAAGCACATATGTTGCTTTTGAAGAAGCATCTTATAAATTCATATTTTATTAGTCACCAAATTTAATTTTTTCTGTTTGTAATTTAATGCTGATAGATTATTTGTTTTTTTATATTTAATAAAAACAATTAAAACATTCATCCTAGTCTCACCAAATTAGACGGTATATTTTATAAGTTTTGATAAAATTTGATGTGTTTCTATTGCAATTAATAAAACTTTAGATTTTTAGATTCGAAAGTTTTATTTAGTTTATTAGTTTAGTCACTGATTTTTTAACTCTAAGAGCTTAATATGTAACAAACAATATTTTTATTTTTTAAATAATGAAGTCTTGATCACTAAAATTTTATAACAAGCTTAAAATTAAGAATAACAATTACCAATTGAAATTATTATAATTTAATTCCACAGAAATAAGATCGTTGTATTTGCAAAAAATAAATTTATTAATTAATATGATAACGAAATCACGTAGTTAACAAAATAATTGTGATTTTTACTGTATTTATCTACAACAGTGCAACTATCAATTTTCAGATATTCTTAATTAATGTAATCCGTTAATTAATTTTTAAAAGGCTACAAAGTGGAAAGAAATTAAAAATGAAAGCAAAAAATTAAGTAATAGTTGATATAGAAAATCCACTTCGACAGCTGTTCAAATTCCTGCATGAAAAAGAGCTGATACTAATAAATAAAGACACTGATATCAAGTGAGAAAAGCTGATACTCGTAGTAAAATACACCGAATATTTTTCTATACCCTTATTTCTGGCTATGCTTGTAATTGTACAGTACAACATAGCAGAAGTGCAAAATATGTCTAAACAGGCAAACGAGATCCGGAGAAAATTAAATCAGTCCCCGGGAAAATTTGCAGTAAGAAAATAATATTACGGTAATATCCGCAAAAACGTTACAATAAAATGTAGTGTCTCGGCTAAGCCTGTAGACATTAATGGGGGAAATTAGCCAAAACGCAGGGAGATCGTGTTTTAAAAGAGAAATTGGAACGTTCAATGTAAGCCCCGGAATTTTTTTTGCCAATAAAACAGCCAGCCAAGGTGTCTGGGGCGAAGTTCATTGTTAATTGATCTTTATTATTTTCTATTTTCGTTCTCTTTACACTTCACAATGACGTGCAAACAGCATACTACACAAGTTATTTCTTTTAATGTCATGGGGTCCGTAAACTATTGTGCACTTAATCAAAGGGAAGAAATTTGCCAAAAGTACATCACTGTAAAAAAACAGAGCGCGCGTAAAAAGTGGTTTAAAAACTAGACATAATTAATGAACGGCATCACTCCTAATTTTTGTTTTTATGAATGATTATGATCTCCAAACTTCATTAATCGATACCATAAATATCTCAAAACATGAATATACTGCTTGTATATTCTCAGTATCTCTGTATATAACTGTATATAACTTATAACTGTTCTCAGTATCGGTGTTCGCATCTTTAAAATGTCCAAGAAATGATGATGTTTTAATCACTTATGCTGTTTCTTATTTTCAGAGATGGTGTACACTCGTTTCTATTAAATTCACCTTCCCACCTCTAACCATTCCATTTTCGTAAATTAACCATGTAGTGTATTCGTATGTAGTGTAACTTACACTACACAGGAATTTTTAGCGAACTGTTTTGTGTCCATTGGTTCCACTGATAGTCACGTGTTTAAGAGCGAACTTTTTGATATACTGCCTTGAGAACGAACTTGCTACAAGTTCGAGAACCGTTCTAGAATTGTTGTCGAACACCCGTCTTCGCCAGGTTTCGTGAGCTGTTCGCGCACTTCTCTCGAAATTGGTCTTTACGCGGCTTTAAAGAGCTTGATCTAACATTTATCGCAATTCTACTAATGGTCCTCGTCATAATTCTAATTTCAGATTTTAAAGCGTGATGTATAATCCCGTTCAAAGTACTCAGATTTTTAGGAATATTGACTTTTCCACAGTAGTCACAGATTGAATGCGTTAGCGAGGTTGAGGCCGAAGTTTTAAACACGAAAACGTGTACGTCGGATGTTCAGTGCCGCTTTCCTGTAAGCCTAGAAGTTTGACAATAGTGTTTGGAATGTCGAGCATGATTCCACTGACTATTCAACCTCGCTATTAAGTACAGTACGTCGAACGCTAAATGCTTGGACGATCGCCAGACCATCATTTCTATGGTAACGGGGCCGAACACTTGTTAGAGGTATTAAAACTGGGAACTGGATCGAATTCGGACGAGCAACTCGTGAGCTGTTTGTCCCTCACCATCCGGTTTTTTTCCGTTGTGGGCCTGTCTGAACTCGTAATGAGCACGAAATAGGGACATTTTAGTGCTCATTTTAGTGCTTATAAATAAATAACCGTGTTGCTTATATTTTACTTTTCTGGTTTTTTTACAGAAATTACGTTTTTTTTAGTTCTTTAATTTAGGAATAACAATTAGTGTTGGTACAAACAACAAAAACGATTCGAATCCTGGATTAATAATTGAGTAAATTATGATTGTGTTCTTCAGCTATGAGTATGTCATCGCAATGAGATAAATTTAGGCAAATCCCTCGCATTTATTTTTTTCAGATCGTTAATTAATGTTTCATTTATTACTAAGTAAACGAAACATTTTAAATACGAGTAGTATTTCAATGTACAAACTGCTTTTGGTAATTCTATTTTTTTGAAGATTTTTCCGCTGATGTTAAGTTATTAAAAATACGTCTTTTTATATACTCGCGGACCTTGGTTTAATGTGTTTTATTTTTTAAGCTATTGTTTAGCTACAAAATTCCAAGTTTTTAAAATTATATTTTTCTCATTTAATTTATATATTTTTGTTTTCTGATAAATCATGTAATTTTTACTCTTTTCGTCATCCGTATTCATCGTCGTTAAAAACATTATCATCTATATATATAAAAATGAATGTATGTCTGTCTGTGTGTCTGTGTGTCCTATGTCCTTCATGCATTACCACACCGTTTATCCGACTGCCGTGAAACTTTGGGAAGTTGTTTAATATACTCCCGCGAAGGTTTCTGGCATAATACATTTATCCTACGATAGATGGCGCGCGTGTATACGAGCATTTTACTGTGTGTTCGATCGATTTCAAATTGTGAAGACCATTTCCCCCTCCAAAAAATATCTCTATATATGCATTTGTTATTTACGATATTTGTCATAATTTTTGTTTAATTACTTTATTTCAACTATTTTTTGCTAATTATGTATTCGCTCGAACTTTGTTAAAACCTTAACCGTATCCCAAACAACAACCGAAGTTGGAGGAAATTCGCCTATTTTACCGATCTAGGGATTTTCCAAATTTTAATATCGACTCAAAATATTTTAAAAAGACAAATTACAATAAAACGGTTTATTATCGAACTATCAGAAATTTCACAACATGCCAAGGAAGAGAGGAGGGAGCAATTAAATAATAAAAATTGTTAAAGATTAAAAAATATATATAAAAATGGGGAATATCGCACTTCTGACAATCGCTGCAACTGTGTGGGTTAGATTTGGAGAATCCGTGCTTCTCGCATAGACAACCGTATGTGGCCAGCTCACGCGTCGGAAAACCTTCTGATTTATTCGTGTACGCACCAGACGGAAAAACAAAAAATATCGTGTATCCACAAACACTCCAATAAATAAATAGAATTGAAACGACACTTTGAAATGTTTTCCCGATGAAAATGAATAATAATAAGTTTCAATAAAAATGATATGATAAAATTCAATTTATATGTTAACGAGTTTGCTTGAATTTCCTTTCTTTTGAGATCGCAGCAATGAGCGACGGGTAAGCTAGTTAACATTTAGCTTTTATAAAACTCATCCTGCTCTCAAAATTAACTTGTTTTTTGTTATTTCACAACAAAATAATTACTGTATAAATGTTTTTTTAATAAAAAAATGTTAGCAATCGGAAAAGTTACGCAGTTACGTTGATGGATTTTTAAAGCAAATCAAATGAAATACAGTTCCTCAATACAATACAGCCATCTTTATTTGAGCGGCCGGATGGCCTAGCGGTCAAGGTGGCAGCCTACCGCTCTGGAGGACCCGGGTTTGAATTCGAACGGGTCGAAAAACCTCTGGGGTTGGTCCGTTTGGATATGTCGGGCCCCGTCCCTCTCCACCCTGCAGTTCCATTGTGGGCCTGGCCGAACCCATAATGGGCTTGCAAAAAAAAGAGACCCTCTTAATGCCCACAGGGCGGAAAGAATTTTAAAAAAAAGCCCTCTTTATTTGCAATTTTTGCATCTACAGATTCAACCGACTGCAGATCGAAAACATTAAAGAATTTTCCTTTAATACTCAGTAAGTTCCAAAAAATCAAATCTAGAATCTTCTTGTATTTTAAATATAGTGTTTTATTATACATATTTTTTTCATTATATAGAAGCAATCTGTAAGATTGAAAAAAAAAGTGTTTGTTGTTGACACGTACAACCATTGGCTTATAATAGAATCATAAGACAATAGGTTGAAGTTTTTAATATTAATTTTAGAATATACTCTAATGTTATTTCATAAGGCCTCAAAGAGTTCCCGTAATTGATCAAATATCAATTGGTTCAATGCCACAACTCTAACATTTTGTGCTCACTGAGGCTTGCAAGAATTTATTCATAGACTACATTTTGATAGCCGGATTCTCAAATCTTTCATTAGTGCACAGCTTAATAGTTATTTAACTCAGTCCGTAGGCAAAAGCCCCAAAACAGTGCAGAAGAACCTCATAACAGTTGAAGTTTCAGGATACCAAAAATGTAGGTCCCATACTGACTAAAGTGCAATAACTCTACATTGATAAAGACAACTAAAGGAAAAAATTACTAAGTTGGAAGTGTCACTATTAGAAAAAGATTGAAAACACTGTTATATGGAAATTCTATACCGTGTAATATCATTTAGGTGTTACAAACGGACGGCCGGATGACCAAGCGGTTAAGGTGGCCACCTACTGCTCTGGGGGATCAGGGATCGAATCCGAACGGGTCGAAAAATCCCCAGGAATGCTTTGAGGTGATGATCCGACTGAATATGTCGGACACCGTCCCTCACCACCCGGCCGTCCCATTGTGGGCTTGCTTTTTTTTAAAACTGTTTCTGCCCTGTGGGCACTAATAGGGTCTCTTATAACAAGCCCATTATGGGTTCGGC